AGTAAATATTAACTATTGTTGTTCTTGGAAACTTGTGCAGCAGTTAGGATTTTGTTGGGCTGTCAGTATCAATATTGCATTATATTCATTTTCTATTTCTGCAGTAAAAAATTATCACAAATTTAATGGGTAAAAATAATGCAAACGTCTTATTTTATACTCTAGAGGTCAAAGTCCAAAACAGGTCTCACTGAGCTAAAGTCAACCTTGATCTGAGACTTCTCAGCCTCCAAATTGTGAGAAAATAAATTTCTGTTGTTTAAGCCATTTAAGTCTGTGGTTTGTTGTGGCGTCCTGAACGGACTAATCCAGATTTGTTCCTTCTAGAGATTCTAAGGGACAATTTGTTCCCTTGCCTTCTTCAGTTTCTAAAGGCTATCTACATTCCTTGGTTTGTGTCTCCTTCATCTTAGACCAGCTCCATAGCATGTTCAAATCACAAAACTTAAACTTTTCTGCCTCTCTCTTCCACTTTTAAAGGCCCCTGTGGCATTGAGTCCACCTGGGTAATCCAGAATAATCTTATTTTAAAAAGTCTGTTGATTAGCAACCTTAATCCCATCTGCAACCTTAGTTCCCCCCTGCCATGTAACATAACATGTTCACAGGTTCTTAGAATTAGGATGGTGGACATCTTTGGCTACTTTGGGCATTATTTTGGCTACTTCATGGACTGACAATGGTTCGAACTTTAAGAACATTTGCTGTTTACTTGTCTGAAAGTAGGAGGGTCTTACATTTATTTAGCTGGTTAACTACAAGAACCTATACTCTTTCTTACCTAGTTTGTTAGCTTTTTATCTTCATATTTGTCATCTCATGGTCAAAAGATGACTTTTTGCATTTCCAGGCATCAGCAACATGTTCAAGACAGGAAAAAGAGGCTGTCCATTCTTTTCTCTGGTCTACCCCTTTTATCAAAAAGCAAAAAGATTTTCCCAGAATCCCTCCAGCAATCTTGCTCTAACTAGGTCATATGTCCATCTCTGTCTGCAAGAGGATCTGAAAGAGTGAGCATCTGGCAAAGGAAAATGAGATCATCCTGATGGGCTTAGACCATTTATGATACATTTATGGGGCTGGGCACCTTGCCTCCCCAGACAAAGTCAGAGTTCTTTTAGTTCAAGGGGAATGTCATGTACAGCATGGTGGTTATGGTTAGTAATAGTGTTCTGCATATTTGAAAGTTACTAAGAGAGTGGATCTTAAAAGTTATATCACACTCAAACCTTTTTTTTTGTAACTGTGTATAGTGATGGGTTAACAAGATTTATTGTGATTATCATTTCCCAATATATACAAACATCGAATCATTACGTTGTATACCTGAAACAAATATATCACTTAGCCCTCAAAAAAAAAAAAGAAGAAGAAAAGCAGACATTTGGCAAGAAAGTTAAGCAAAATGCTTGTAAAATAAATTAAGCAAAAAGAAAAAGAGGCAGCGGCAGGATGGTGGGTGGCGGCGGGAAACGCAAGCCTGGCGGGGAGGGGCCGCAGTGTGAAAAAGCAGCTGCCGTGAAGAAGAGTAAGTCCTGTGCAGCTGACGTCCCCAGTGACCTGCGAGAAGAAGTAGAACGTCATTACAGGCTTTCTCTGCCTGAAAATTTCTATCACTTCTGGAGGTTCTGTGAAGGTCTTGGTCCTGAGAAGCCAGCTGATTCACTTTTCTGCAAACCTTGGACTTCGGTTAGTGGGCCCTTATGATATCCTGGCCGGAAAACATAAAATGAGGAAGTTAGCAAGCCTGAATTGTAATCTCTACTGGAGATTTTACTATGATCCTCCCGAGTTCCAGACCATTTTTGTTGAAGATAATAAAACTCAGTTCCACGTGGGGTATTTCAGGGATTCTCCTGATGAACTTCCAGTACTTGTTGGTAGAAATGAAGCAAAGAAAAGCTGTACAATTGTTCAAAATGGAGATAACATGTTTGCTGCAAATTATTTTTGATGAAAAAACTTAAAGAAGTAACAGATAAGAAGAAAACTAGTCTCCTGAAAAACATAGATGAGAAGCTCACAGAAGCAGCCCAAGAACTGCGGTTCTCCCTGAAACAGAAGCATGAAGATGCGACAGAGAGATAAGAGGGTTGTGGCAAAGACCTTTCAAGGGGCAGGCTTGGTTGTCCCAGTGGATAAGAATGATGTTGGGTACTGAGAGCTCCCTGAAACAGATGCCAGCCTCAGGAGGATCTGCAGGACCATCGCCAGTGCGCCCAGTGATGACGAGAGACTCAGGGCATTTGCTCCTGTTCGGGAAATGGTGACGTTCATGCAGTTTGCTAAGGATGAATGCGATTATGGGGTGCGGCTGAAGCTGGGGACCGACCTCTTCTGTCATGGTTCCCAGTATTTTCATGAAGTTGCTGGATAGCTTTTACCTCTTGCATATAATCTGTTGAAGAGGAATCTCTGCAGAAATTATTGAAGATCATCTGGCACACAGAAGTACAGAGGACGTGGACGAGCTCGCAGCATGAGTGCAGTGGCCTTTCTTTGGTGTACAGTATTTCAAAGCATTAGTATTAGATGTGATTTTTTGTTTTTAAGGAATACAGAAAATAAATCGATGGAAACACTTGCTTAAAATTTTTATTAAAAAAAAAAAGAGAAAGAAAAGAAAAAGAAACCAATTTGTAGGCCTGGGAGCTGCCTAGAGGTGTGGCAGCCAGCAAAGATTCCCATTAGTATGTTTATCTTAATCTCCTTGAGAATAAGAAATACATGTTAGAATGGGTTAATTTCTTTTAGATTTAAACAAATCACCTCCTAATTTGCTGGATTTAAAAAAAAACTAATTTTGGGAGGGAGGAACCCCTCCAGGTCTATGACAAAACTTTTGCTTTCTAAAAGCAGAGGAAACACTTGAAATGTTAACAGAATGTATCTCTAGGAAGTGGAAATAGAGATTATTCCCCACTTCCCGCTTTTCTGTACGTTATAGATTGTCAGTAAAGAGAAGGTATTATTCTTATAATGCAAAACTTTATTTAAACATTTCTATATCATGAGCTCAAAAAAGTCTCCTGCAGATTTATAAAATAACACAAAATTAATTAAAGCATGAGGCTCCTTTGACTATGTTAAGTGCAAATAGAGGGAAAAATCATTGTTCATTTGCATGGTTATGGGTCACTTTTTGATTTTCCAAGTTTTTTATAATGAGTATTTTTTTATAATTAGAAAAAAATGCATTCTTTTAAAAGGGCAGTAGTGTTCATTGGGAAACTATCAGCAACATATATGCCTGTTGGAAGTTTCGTTCACTTCATTAAAAACATAGCCTAATCTAGTTTTGGCTACTCTAAGAATATGATTATGTTGTAAAGTATATATGTACAGTATGAAAAGAAAATAGTCTATTTTTCCAGTATTTAAAAAAAATTTAATTTAGAGGCTTAATAAATCAGGATCACTTACCTTTAAATGTGGGTGTGTTAGAATAATTGCTTGACTTTGGATCTGGGAAATGCTAGTTGCTTCTGTACATCAAGTGAAACATTAACTTTTTGATTTTTTGCAGCAGAAGTGAGGCAGACTGCTGGCATTTTGAGAGCTTGCAAGGAAAATGAAGCTCCCTATTTTCATAGCAGATGCATTCACAGCAAAAGCATTTCGTGGGAATCCTGCTGCTGTTTGCCTCCTAGAAAATGTAAGTAGTATTTAGTTTTGAAGTACAGTGGCTGAAATTTTAGATTCCTGTAGAACCAAGTATTTCTTAAAAAAAAAAATCAGACCCACTTGTTTGTTTACCTCTTGGGTTTATGTTCTTTGTCGATGACATCAGCAATGTTCATCTCTGCAAGTTGATTTTGACCAAATTATATGATGAGACTGCTACACCTAGATGCTTAGTTTTAGAAATGAAGATTCATGTAAAGAAGAACTAAAGTCAATTAAAAAAAAAAAAGAACTAGAACTCCCTTAGTCGCCATTGGGTTTTCATTTAGTTAGCACCAAATGCAGAGGAAAATGAAATTAGATGAGTTTTATGGGACAGGACGTGGCTGATACTACGTTTAGCATAAAAGATTCTAGCTGAATAACTTTAACCTTGCCTATAGTTCAGACAATTAGAAATTCTTTCAGGACCAAGGAAATAATATATTTTGCAAGGAATTAAGTAATTTAGGAGAAAGGAGGAATTAAGCTCTAAGATAGGGAGAACCCAGTTTACTGAAAGTCTCATTTAAGAATGGCTTTCGATTAGATAAGTATTAACAGAATAGTTAAATATTCCTTGACCTTAGCTGGTTTGTGTTGTTACCTGGATATTAGGAAACAAGCCAAGGTACATTTCCACTCAGAGCAGTTACTGTAAGAATAGATTATCTGAGAATTACTTCAGGAACACTGTAAGCAATTGATGTTCTTAACTAAGTCTTATTAAGTTGGGCCAAGTGTGCACTGGGGCCTTGGAGTGCAGTGAATGCCAAGCTGGCTGCATATTAAAACCACCTGAGGTGCTTAAACATTCTTACGCCCAGGCTGCGTCCCGACCAACCACAACAGAGTCTATGGGGGTGGGACCCAGGCAGTGCTGTTTTAAAATCTCCCCAAGTGATTTGAGTATGCAATCAAGATGGAGAATGGCTGAGATTTTACTGAGACCGGTGAGTATTGTTAATCGAGTCTTTGGTCTACTTATTTTCTCCCTCAGATGGGGCAGCAAGATGGTGACCCAGAGTCCTCATCTTACCTTGGTGATGAATTGATTATGCAGCCTTGTAGCTGGCATTTTCTAACCACAAAACGCAGACAGTAATAAAGCTAAAAGGCTTTATTTATAAGAGCTTGGTAGTATTAGTGAGAGAGTATTTAATAGCCAGATTCTAAATTGTGAACTTTCTTAGGAAACAATCTGGCAAATATAACCTCACGTGAAGGAATTGTGGAATTGACTAAACCTGCCTGTCGAGAATCAGTATACTTGCCTCATGAGTTTTGAAAAAAGTTTTGAGTGATTTATGTACTCGGTTTTCACCAGATGACAAGAATTAGTATTATTCCTCAGTTTACTCCTTTTAACCTCCAGAACACTTGCTATACTCCAGACTTAGGATACCTCTTTCTCTCTGTATATGTGAGTGTATATTGTGTGTGTGTGTGTGTGTGTATCTCCATTAAATATATTTTGCATGTGATTTAAATGTTTGGCAAAACTAGAAAATAAAATTTAAAGCAAAACTTAGTATAATTCAAAGCAATATACTTGAGTATGACTGGAAAAGAGAAAAAGATGAGGAAATCCATGACCCAGGGATGCTCTCTATAGAGTATCTCAATTCACTTCTTTGGGACTTGGACCTGTGAGACCAGGCTCATTTAATGGCCTAGATGAATAGATATCTAAAGATGAGTTTGCTAGTTTTCTGTTCTGTGGACATGAGAATCCTGCTCTCCTAGAGGTTCATTTAGCACTTTCCCCAGTGTATAATCAAGAAAAATTACAATGGAAGTTTAAACTGTTTTGTTTCTGCTCTTGGATTCTTTTACCCATGGCTGGAGACAGTGGACTCTTTAAACACCTACAGAGAACACGAGTGAACTCAGGAAAATGTCAGAGACAAATAAGTGCTAGACCTTACAAGGCCGACCCCAACTCAGTAGGCATTTAGCCTGTCATTATGCGTTCTACAAATATTTGTTGACATCTCACATGCATCTGGCTCCAGGGTGGGAACGGGAGGTACAGAGATTAGTAAGTTTGCCTGTCCTTGAGGTGCTCAGAGTCTAGCGGGGTAAGTAGACATGTAAACCTGATCCTTGTCCTCTAGTCACCACAGAGGCTGAAAGACCCAAAAGTGCCAGGTACCATGGGGACTCAGAGGACGGAACAACACTGGATTTTATGGGGGAGAAAATACTTCAGATTTTAAGTGCAGGCCTTCAAAGGAATATTCTTTTTCATTTAAAAAATTTATTTTCGGGGGAGGGTAATTTATTTTATTTGTTTACTTTTAGAAGAGGTACTGGGTATGGAACCCAGGACCTTGTGCACACTAAGCATGTGCTCTACCTCTTGGGCTATACCCTCCTCCCATTTTTCATTTTGTTTTGTTTAAATTTATTTAAAATTTGACTGAGATGAGGCTAACCACAGAAAAACTGGGTGGACAGATGAAAGACTAGGTGATTGCACTTTGAGCTTTTTGAATCTTGATAAAAGAGCGCTGGACAGAAAGTGAAACCATATTCCCAGAGCTTCTATAATATTCTTAAGTTTTGTTTTGGTTTCCTTTCTAAACAAGTTCATTTAAAAATTCTTCACATGAGGGACTTTTAACCCAGTATGTTAGGTGAAAACAAAAACAGACAAAGCGCTAAATGGAACATGAGACAGATACTTGAAAAAATATTTTAAACCTTAAAAAACTGATGATTGTCCTCAAATGCCTGACAATTGGGCAATAAAGACTATGTACAGATGTAGAAAATGCATAGAAATAATATTTTAAATAGTAAAATAGGTACATTACAGTGATAGCTGTGTAAAAAACTGTAGGAACTGACCAACTATTGGAATAGGTCAGAGGGCTATGGTAATCATAAGAGTAGTGCTTTATTATTCTGTGAACCAGCTTTAGTATTTAGTGAAAACGACATAACAGGGGTAGGGAGGCCATATTTATTCTCCTTTATATTGTAACAAAGCCTTAAGGTTTTTTGGTGGTGGTTGTTCTTGTTTGTGTGTTTGTGTGTTTAGGGCAGGGCTTCTCAATAGTGGTGTTATTGACATTTTGGACTGGGAAGTTCTTTGTTGCATGAGGCTGTCATGTGCATGGTAAAATGTTTGGCTGATCCTGGGCCCCTGCCTACTAGATGACAGATGCCTCTGTTCATCCTACCAGTCACAGCAATCAAAACCCGCCCCTAGTTGAGAACCATTGTTTCAGAAGATATTTTTTCTAAGAGACGTTTATTCTGGAGTTTTCCTCTTAAAATTATCCATGAAAACAACTTTGTTGTTTGCTCAGTGTATCCATTTATTCTGATTTAGTCAGCATTTACCGGCTGTCTGCCATATGCTGTACACTGTGCTAGGATTAAATTAATATTCGTAGATGTACATTCTTATCCTTTTAAACACTAATAATCATTTCCAGTGACAGAAGGTGGACTGGCTTCACGTTTTCAAAGAGGAGTGCTTAGTTTTAGTTCCTAAACTACTAACTGTTCCAGTACTCCTGGTCAAATTTAGGGGCTACCAAATGCTCCTTTTACAGGTTGGTGGGAAATGTATTTAAGGAAAAACAGATATGTAGCAATGTCGTGTTCAATCTATGCTTCAACTCATATGCAGTGGCCATTTCCAAACTTGGTGCCCTTAGAGATCACTGGCTCAGTGTGACCATACTAGATCAGAAGCTCCTTGGATTTTTAGAGTTATAACCTCTTATTTCATTTTTATGCCCCACAAAAGGATATGGAGTACGAAGGAGATTCTTTTAGGATGTTGAGGGTTTTCCTTTGCCAAGAATTTGAGGGAAGAGAGCAATGCAAAGAAAGAGGAAATATTAATGTGGGAATTTCTACTTCCCAAATATCTACACTGGCTTCT